AATGAGCCTGATCACCGCGAGTTTATTCCCGCGTGTGCGCCGTCCGCGGTCGGCACGGCGGAGACCCCTCCTAGAGCCGCCAGCACCGGCCCCGGAGGGCTCATGGCGGTGCCCGTCAAATATTAAAGGTAGTTGTGGACGGTGTGCGGAGATGATTTGCAACTCCAGTCGACGCCACCGACAGCCTGCATCACCCCATGACCGCCCCCACCGTCGGGCAACAGCGTCGTTGACGGTGAACCCGTCACGGCGAGATGTAAAATCAACAACGAAATCTGGCGGCGCGGCGATAAACTGCCACCGGACTCGCCCGAAAACTCTCTCTTGGGTTCGTCGGTGAATGTGCGTAGGCGTCCGGCTCCTGGCGCGCGCCAGCTGTCAACTGCGACCCTCCTGCCAGGGATCCGAACTCCTTGGAGCTTCAAGAGGCGCGGCGTGGTCAGAAGTGAACGCGCCGAAGCGATCGTAAACTTCTCCGCGACGCCGTTCCAGGTCTCCTGCAGCGCGTCTTCGTCTTCGCATCGAGTGGGTCGAGATGGCCGCTGTCGGACGAAGACGACGGTTTGAGCGAGGATTGCATATACGGCGCGAATGCGGGTGCGAGGAAGCGACCCACCGCGCGCCACCTCCGACAGCCCCAGCCTATCATCTGCCGTCGCAGCCCAGACGCACCTGCGCGCTCCAATCATCGCGCACGTTGCGGGGCGGCCACACGCCAGGCGCGCACGCCACGAAGAGGATGGAAAGGAGCCGTTTTGGGTAGCGCGCCCGTGCTCCCATCAGTCGCGGAACTGTCGTCGCGTGCGAGGGGGGTGGAGCGTTCGCCTCGCGAGGGCACTGGTGACGTTGATCTTGGCGAACATTGACACAGCAGGATCCCAGCGGTCACGCGTGCGCGCGCAGAGGACGACGGACGGTCCGCGCCCGCCCTGCGTCGTTGCCGTGGTGCAGTTCGACTTCCCTGTTGAGCTGTCTGGTGCAGCCTTCGGTAACGCGCTAGACGCGCGGGTTGTGTTCGTGCGGGTATAAATTCTGTAGTGAGCACGGCTGAGGGACCTCAGGCAACAGTCGAACACTCCCCGCATTCCAGCACTCACCCTCGCTCTCAGCCTTCATTCCCTCAAAGACCACCACGATGTTCTCTCGCGTCGCCATCTTCGCTCTCGCTGCCCTCCCCATTCTTGCGGCCGCCACCCCCCTCGAGACTCGTGGGGGCGAGCCCAGCTGCTCTACTGGACCCATCCAGTGCTGTGACAGCGTTCAGAAAGTATGAACGTCGATCGGTCCACTATATGTGCATGCTGACCTAGTACCCTACAGGCAAGCGACCCCGCGGTGGCCGGTCTCCTCTCCCTGTTGGGCATTGTCGTGGAAGGCTTGGACGTGCTCGTGGGGCTCACCTGCTCCCCGATCACCGTGGTCGGTGTTGGCGCAGGCAGCTCTTGCGACGCTGAAGCCGTGTGCTGCCAGAACAACGACGTCGTAAGTAGCGTAAGCTCGTTTACTTCATGTTCACTTTCTGAAACACCTTCAAGGGGGGCATTCTCTCCATTGGGTGTGCGCCCGTGTCTCTCTAGGCGGGGACCGGCCAGTCAGATGTGCTACGATGCCGCAGAGGGGGATGCGCATCTTGAATACCCTGTGCCAGAACATGTCCGATCGGCTCGGTTTACTTTGTGATGAACGATGGATATCCTCGTACCTTCTTTGAGTATCGTGGTCTCGTAGTTCGATCAATGACATCACCCATCGTGGTATTCACGGTGCTTGCGTGGGCGGCCTGATTGGCCTTAACAGTATGTGGCGTAAGAGATGGTATCGACGAATGAGAACGTTACACTGTCAGCCTCTATAGCAGCCATGTTGGTTATGCAACGTACCAGCTGGGACAACCATCGAACTGTAAGGCGCATCTCATGAACAGTCAGTAACGAGTGCGAGGTACAGCCACGGGACGGGTGCAGTAGTAGGATACTGAAGGTGACAGGGAACTGATTCAACCCCTGACTGATATCTTCTCGCGTCTGCCAATGGATTCTCAGACCTTCGCTGTATCTCCAGGATTTTGAAGAGGATATGGATGAGAATCGTTGCTACCAGGACTTCATGAGTAGGAACACAGAATATTCGAAGAAGCTCGTCGTGGCATGAACAGTTGCAAATACCGAGGACGGCGGGACTATGGTAGCGCGCCGGATAGTCTTCGCGCACCCGCGCGAGCTTTACCCTGAAACTATATGAGCATTCTGGGTGCAAGACAAAGATAGCCACCATGGGTACCTCGCGTCTTCTGTACACATTGCACAAGGCGAAGGAGTAGCATGACATGAGGCCACGCTCCACCCGCCGACGCTGAGCGTAGCCGGTTGCATCAGGCGACGAGAAGGCGTTCATTTCCGCTGTACATTGTTGGTTTGGCTTTTGTGCCATATGGTCGCTGAGATTCGGTCGATTTTGTGTGAGCAAATCGGAGGGGAGCAATCACGTTCCAGTGGACGTAGCCGATACTGTCGCAGTCCGGCTTCCACAGAGCCCGTCGAAGGACTTGGTGTGTATATTTTGAGAGGAATTCTTTCGCAGACACCCCTGGAGCCCAGCCAACCGTTGTTCTTGTGCAGAGCACTGTGGAGTCCGAGGAAAATATGAGGGTAAGTGGGGGCCAAGGTACTCAGGCGCCAGAACCAACGGAACGGTGTGTGACGGAGCGCCCGAACGGAGAGCAAGCCTCTAGTTATGCCATGATCACTAGTACTCCGTCAGTACCCTCCTTCGCATTTACGATACTGCTCGTCGGATCAGTACTCAAGCACTCATATCTATGATATTGAAAATGTGATACTTACTCTCGCATTTTCTACGGCGCCGCCAGTGTGCCAGGATCTACCCGCAGCGAATCCCGAGTCTACTGCATCAGCTGGCTGAAGCCTCTACGACACCACGTCTCCAGCACCAAGCGGAGACACTGGAACATAGGCAAGTACGCGTTATGTTAATGTGTTGTTTCTCTTCATACGTGTGGCTTAAACCCGGCCTTTGAGTTTTACAGGCAGTGACCTCAGATGGCCTTTCTCCGACACAGAAAGCCTCTCTCTCTAGGTACTGCCCGATCGTCACTCGCACAGTGACGGTACGTCTATCCTCGACGCGCTTCTACCCGGCTACGTTGTATTCGATCGCATGCATTCCCATATATGGGGACATTGTTGTCCTTTTGAGGTACCCACCGTCGATCATCCGTCTGTGCTCGCTCGCGGCCGGTGACGGCGAGCTGCACACTGCACCTTCGGCGGAGTACATGTTGAAGTTGGTCGAGTATAAGAACAGGCGGGACATGATGCAGCGCTTTACTCGACCCTTTCCTTCCATCCCGTGTTTGTCGCTATGCGTCAGCGTCTTTCCTTCCTCGCATTAACGGCCCTCAGCCATGGCTTTGTCTCTGCAGCAGTCACTGGAGTTGCTCGGGCTCGAGCTATTAATGCCCACGCCTTGCGCTATTCTGCTGCTCAGCGCGGCTTCTCCGACAGCTGCCTCTACTTGAATTCTACCACGCTCGTTGGACTGGACCCTTCTGAGGTACCTGTGGGGCTTCCTTCTGATCTGGACTCGTGCTTCTGCATGAGTAGCCTCCTTGAGTCCCTCACAACAAGTGTACAGCTTGCCTACACTGTGAATACTTTGGGCATCACCGCGGTGCAGCAGGCTTTCGGATTCATCGTGAGTTTCTCTTGCCGTCACGCCATGCTCAACGCGTTGACCGCCTCACGCAGATATCCCATTCGCCTCAATCCCAGACATGCACGTATCCCGACAACTCGCAGCCTCTGTGTACTCGGGACAATGTCTGCGGCTTCACGTGCGACTCACCCTTCACAGCGATCGGTGACACTTGCGTCTGCACGGACTCCGACGTCTGTAGCTCCCTGCAGCTCTCTGCGCGCAAAACCTCGTCGAAGAGCCGCCTTGCGAAGCGAGCCGTCATCAAGACGACTGCGGAGGCTCAAGCGACGTGCGCAGTTCACGAGACGGTGCGCTGACCCAAAAACATTGGTCGATATCGCGTGCTGACCGGCGCTTTGCCAGGTCTGTGGCAAGTACAACGAAATCCAAAGCGGTTTCCAGTGTGTTGATGTTCGCACCAACCTCGAGATTTGTACGTGCAACTGTTCGGTCACCCTGCTGCACTCGTCCGACTGACAGCTATCCCGAAGGCGGCGGATGCATCGTCCCAAGCCCCTTCGATTCCCCCAAAAAAGGAAGCGTTGCGGGGGTAGATTGTTCATCCATCCCTCACGTCGAAAACGTCTCCTGCCAAGCGGGAGCCTGCGCCGTTCGCAGCTGCGGCGATGGATGGACCGTCAACAAGGACGGCACGGGCTGCATTGCGGTCGCAGCTTCGCTCGGCGCAGGTGCGGATATCAGCCTTCGCGAGGTCCCCGACGGCATCGAGGTCGGTGCAGCGGGAGAAGCTGGAGCGCAGGATCTTTGGCACACCGCTCGCACGCTCTCCGAGAAGAAGAAGCTGAAGGAGGATTGGACCCGCATCCCTGACATCCGCTCCGAGGACGTCGCGGAGGCGGACAGCGGCGGTGCGCGCGTCGCGCCCAAGAAGATACAGCAGGACTGGGTTCGGATCCCTGATTATCGCAGGTTCGGCCTGGAGTAGACTGCCTCGTTTGGACGCATTGGGCTGGTGTCGGGGCTGCGCGAAAGGCAGGCGCGGTACGTACGTATTGTTCTGTTATGTTTCCAACTGTCATGTTGTGATCGGATGATCTGTTTTGCGTCTGTTTCTGGCTATCAATTATGTCTTCCTCTGTGTTTGTATCATCTAGTTTGAAAGCAGCCTTGACGAAGTCAAAGCGAAGGTCAGGCCAGCTAACTTCTGAGTCGCAGCGTGAGCGTGCCTGTCGACTTGCATCGCCAAAAGAGGTACTCAGCACAATGACTCGCATATCTTCTCAATATATGTCGCATAACGTATGGTTAGGTTCGCACAAAAAGGGCCTGGCCGGGAATTGAACCCGGGACCTCCTCCAAATTGGGAGGAACTATTGTGTTCTACGCCCTAAGAAGGAATCATACTACTAGACCACCAGGCCTTGTTAACGAAGTGATACAGTGTGTGATAAAGTTCTTTGCCACTCCCAGCGCTGCACATCAGTCACAAAGTAAATGGTACACGATCCTCATAGCCCCTACCATGACCATGTATCCAACACAACATGACCGAGGATACTCATGTGTTCTTACGGGTGAATAGTTCGGCGATATCACACTGAACCAGTTTCCTCACTCGCACGCACAAGTTGTGGCCAAAACGATGCATCGTATTATTCAGAACTATTAATGTACTATCCTCAGAATCCACCTTGTCGCACTTCTCCTACTGCTCTGGAACAGTGTCGAAGGTTTAGAGGATGATCGGCACGCAGCCGATGGAGATGAGGCCACCCTTCGTACAAGCAATGTAAGCATCGTGCGATGACTGCGACGTAGTTGTGTGGTACTCACGACGTTGTTGTTCTCGCAGCAGACGGGGCTGGCCTGGCACGAAGACTGGCCGACACCGACGCCGGAGACGCCAGAGCACTGGAGGCCGACCTGGCCAGTGAGGCTGTTCACGTCAAGGCCGAGGAGGCTCAGGAGCACGGAAACCGCGTCCTCGTGGGTCTGCATCACCAGCTTTGAATCAGATACTGGACATGCCACGAGAACCGGAAAGCACGTACCTCATGGACGGAGTTGCAGCACTGGATGGAACCGGTGTTGCAGTCTCCGCGGCGGACGGGCGTAGCGGCCGCAAAGACGGGGAGGGCAAGGAGGGAGAAGGCGGCGACACGGGCGAACATAGTGAATGTGAGGGGTGGGGTCTCGAAAGAGTGACTAGGTGAGTGGGTGTTTGGGAGAGTAGGAGAGAACTGCTGATCGAGAGACGATTGCAATGGGGAGCACTCACCTCGGACGCTGCATTATTTATATGTCTCGACACAGAGTCGGCACGCTGTGCGGCCTCGCGCGCGCTGGCGCGGCACGGCACTCTGCATCCGTGCGTGCGCGCGCCGCGCTGCAGTTTGGACTCTTCACTTTCGTGGGGTGGCTCTCGGCGACCCAGATCTGTGTCTGAGCACGCTACGCGACGCGTAGTGGTTCGCGTAGGCCTAGACGCTGGCGGAAACATGGCGGCGCTCCTTCTTTCATTTGATCAGTCAGGCCTCGTGCATGGAGAACTCATTCCGCGCCTTCGCGACACTCTTGACTCAATCGAATGTGTCTTTCCCGATGTCAGAAAAATGATCGCCGCAGCTGTATGGCCTTCGGATGGTGAAGAGGCCTACGCTCAATTTCAGCTCAAGTAGAGGTTCCCCTTGGCAGTGACTTTGCGGGTGGATCTGTGCATTAAACTAACACCTCTGGTTCAGATGAAGTCTCCAAGAATAGGCATGGGGAAGGGATGCGTGCATGGCGCTGCGGAAGGTTGGTCAACGGTGAGTCAGACCTTCGTCCTTCCATGCAGGGTCGTGGTTGTCTCGTTCAGCCACCTGAAGGCTTCTGCCCGCTCGGAGAACGCGCGGGAGGCAAACCTCCATCAAAACTGTCCGACGGTGGTCAGCGTGGTCACCTTCTTGGTTTCGAGCAATACAGTACCCTCTCGTCCACCTTCTCCGGATTGAACCGCCTTCACCCACCTGATCGTATGCGAACGTCTGTTAGTGAGCTTCACACGCCAAACGTAAAGTAATACAAGGCTGCGGTCGTGCTCACGCGCAATGGTACAAATGAGTACGTTTGAAGATTTACTAGCCAATGGTACGGTTCATGCCGTCTCTTGGATATACATTCTGTGAGTGTATAGCACATGTCCGTTGTGTGGGTTGATACCAAATTATCAACGGTGCACAAGGATAAATGCTATACGACGTTGCTAAGGCAAAAACTAATGCAGAACCCCGCGCAGACTTCGTCTGGGCTGAGTCCGATTGTTCTGATAGAGTCGCCTTCAAGAATGCTTCTGAGCACTCTCCGGCGCTGTATCTCCTCTGGGCTATTAACGGCGCGTTCACATTCTCCGGTGCAAATACCACATAGAAGACGCTACACGGTAACCCATTTCCGATCGCCCGAACCCGTGCATGCTAACGGTCTACTGTCCTCCCACCGCTCAGAGCGTGATCGGAAGGCATCCGATAGAGATCAAGCCACCCTAGGACCCTGATCAGCGAATGGCGTGGAGGATGTATCGAGTGCGTGGTCACTCACGATGTTGTTGTTGGTGCAGCAGACCGCATTGGCGGAGCAGGCGTTCCCACTGCCAACGCCAATGATGGTGAGGGGCGAGCAGTTCAGGCCAATGAGGCCCGTGATGTCCCCGAGGACGATTCCGAGCAGGCCGAGCAGGAAGTTGCCCGAAGCGGAAGAAGCCTAGGAGCGCGGTGAGCTTTGCGGGACGTTAACGGAGGCGCGTTATGCTTACGCTCTCGACGGAGCTGCAGCATTGGATGGCGCCGGTACTGCAGGTCTGACGAGCCTCGAGCTCAACCGGGGTGGCGGCCGCAAGAAGGGGTAGAGCCAGGGTAGCAAAGACAGCGGTGCGGGCGAACATGGTGAGTTGCGTCGGTTGGTGAGTGCTCGAGGGGCTTGTAGACCGGGTTGATGATCTGAAGGTTGTAGGACTCAGCTCTCCAGCTTTTATAGGTTCACAGCTCGGCCATTCTCAGTATCTCCACCGCCCGCTGAGCATCCATGTCGGACGTAGTGTGGGCGTGCCTTGTCGGAGAGTATTGGTTCAAGGCCATGCGGTAGTGCTGGTGACTGTCCAATCCGACTGGTACCATTTTTCTCCGCTGAGAAAAAGACCTGCCACGCGCGATGGTCCTGCTGATGTCGGAGAAACAGACTCGCTATGTCTATCTCCAACCCGCGGTGGTATGTCTGAATAATCGACAGTCTCATCTGCACAGGCCCTCGAACTCCTAGCCCAGCCCGCACCAGCCCCACAACATCTCCCATTCGTGCACACCACTTGATACTAACAGTTTGACAGCTCCATCTACACACCTCGGGGACCCCCTGCCATTCTTGACAGAGGAGTTGCTCAAACGTACCATCTCCGCGGAATCGCATACCAGAGTTGTGGACGCCGTGAACCTCCTGTGCTATGCGTACAGGCGTAACTCCATACAGGAAGTTGACTAACCCCGTTCCCTACAGGAGATGGGAATGCTTCAACTCTGGGCAAGCCTCGTGCCTCTGAGGCTGAGCATCCAGGCTCAAAGCTAGACGGAACCATACCCCGCAGAATGTTGCAATGCGTGCCTTCTAGAGAACGGGTATCCAAGTTCGTCCTTCCTGCGCCCAGTTCGCGAAGCATGCTGCTCCCGTCACGGTCCGCATCCTCCTGGCCACCAGAATATCTGATCCTTTTCGCGTTTGCACTTCTCCGCCGCTCTGCCCGATGGCATCGCCTCTGCCATCTATCTGCACACACCTGCGCGCGGCTTCAATATCAGCGAAGGGCGAGCAGGACGTCTTCATGCGACGCTGGGACGTCTCGGCCCGACCGAACATACTTTTTGGGGCGCAAATGAAGTCTTGTCGCGATGCGTTGCCATTGTGGGCAGATCCTTTCAGCTGGTTTTTTTTTTCAATTGGTTAGGGGACCTCGGTAATGAACTCAGCGGTTCATAGGGCCGCCCCTACAGCGCAGCGGCGTATTCCGTCCCAAGTCAAGACATGCCGATCAGAACAAACATAGCGTGACCACGGTGCTAATTCGTCTATCCACCTTGCCTCACGGCGCGCATGAGTGTGGATGTTGAGAAATTGTTTTTGTGCTGACCTCATTTGCGAGCTTGAGCCTTGGCAAAGGCATCAATATCTGCGTCCGCGGAGGAGGGTGAGCTCGAGGCGTGCAGGGATGCCGCTGCTGAGAGCTGCCAGGCACACCAATAGGGATGCTTGCTGCGACGAAGTGTCCGCAGCCCGGGTGTGTGAGCGAGATCTCTACATGATCCGGTAAGCTCTTTACTTCCGCACCGCCGTGAAGGTCGGCGGGAAACTAGTGGCTCGAGAGCGGCTAAAACATCGGGTAATGCGCGTCTTCACCCCTTCGCTGTTGTCGCTCCTCATGATGCAAAACCAGCTTTTTGCAAGGAAAGATGCATCTTCAGCCTGCCGTGTAAGAGGGTGTGTATCTACGAACGCTCTTTTGTAGGTGAGTCGTTTAGTCACTTTCCGGCTCACGAGATACTTTTAGTGGACTTACATCACTGAAGATCAGATTGATCGAGGACCGAATCAATTCCCGGAGGTTGAATGCGTTTCATTAAAGAGGTTTGCACCCTCTCCCCGGGGACTTTCGGCACGTTTTTGGACGCGCAAACTCCAGCCCCGCCTCAGCGCTCAGCCTCGACAATTGCGGCCTGGCTGGGCCGTCTGTGCGGATACTGTCTGGAGAAGAGCCGCGCGGCATAAGCGAACGGCATGCAGCCACGCGGTCTGTACTGGTAAGTTCTCATTCCGATGTACGTCCCCATGCGTTTGCATCACGTCCTGTCGTGTGCATGCTTGGGTGTCTCTTTCGAGGGTTAGAACAGTAACGGCTGCCCCCGTATCCCCTCTCCCTCCCCGCCATCTCGAAGGGGTGTCGACGGCTTTCGCGTGAAACGTGTAGCGTCAGCGGTGCTTCACGGCCCCGTCGCCGACGCATATGCTCGTCATAATCATGACTAGGCGAACGGCAACCTTTCGGTTGGGTTGTCCGTCTAACAGCTCCATGCAAGTTGTACGCTGGCATCCTCCGGCTGACGCTCTAAGTTTAATGGCCATGATGCTCGAGCACGGCTCGGTGATTGCACTGGGTTAGCATACACAGTCGCCAGGCTATCCGCGTCTCTCTCGTCGCCCGTATAAAGACGTACAGCGCAGCGTCGTGGCGGACAAAGTACTACGCAACTAGTAAGCCGATCTCCAGACATGTTCTCCCGTGCCGTCACCACGTTTTACTTCCTCCTGTCCCTCGCCCTCCTTGCGGCCGCCATGCCCGGAGGTACACCGCCGCCGCCGACTACCACGATCACCGCGACGGCGCTTCCCCCAACGC